TTTTTTTTTTTTTTTTTTTTTTTTTGGTACTGTAGCTGAAGCCTGAGGTTTTTCACAGTGCACGTGTGGATGCTGCACATGGATTGTTGCCTTCAGGCTCATACTTACAGGAGCGTAAGCTTCTGGAGGGCTGCTCACCTGCCGCCCTCGGCCCTGGCGCCTCTGACAGGCTGCCTGTTTCCCCATCCTTCTCTCAGGCGAGAGATGGAAAGGGCCCGGTTACCCACTGTGTGTTCTGCCTGGTAAAACTGTGAACAGAGGCGTTAGTTTTTGTTTTGTCTCACGGTTCTACTCACAGACTGATGCCAGCCTTGCTGAGGTCGGAGTTTGTGGGATCAATTCATGTTTTTACCTCCTTGGTGTCTGATAGGAAGGTGGTGGCAAGGAAATGGGTTGTTGTAGCATTTTGGAGGAAACATTAATAAATGAGGGGTTCTACGTATGGGGGCTGCTGGCTACAAAGGGTTGAGGTAGTTGCTTGTGCAACTCCAGGCTGTGTTTATGTTGCAAAACTTTACCCCAGAATTTTATTCAAAACCAGTTGGAGAATTCTGTTTCAAAAAGTAATAAGCATGCTGTGAAAATACACCAAGCTTTGGTCTGCCGAGATGGTGCTTGCAGAATTAGTGCATCAGAGAGGGTTTTAAATTCCAAAGGGCTGTCCCAGGAGAGCTGTACTGATTTTCTTCCTGTTGAATTAGAAGTCTGTGTCTGCTTCCGTTTTCAATTTTTAACACCTACGTGTCATCATGAAGTGAACTGCAAGATAGATTGTGTTTGAGGAAGGAGTGTTTCTCCTTAAGTGACTTTAATGTCTTATTTCATGGAAATTGTTGTGCAGTGATTTAACTTGTCGTATCTCTATGGTGCAAAACTAAGTGATTAAGGAAACTAAGCCAGAAAAAAATGGTCCAATACACTTTTGTTCTGTATCCATTGTTAGAGTGGAAGTGCTTTTCCTTCACTTTCTTGGTTAGCTCACGCAATGTTCTCTCATGCATTGGGAAGAATAATTCAGTGAGAGAGAGACAGCAAACAGTAACGAGTGGGATGGGACCTAAAAAACTCACTATTGTTTTGTATTTGCACGTAGAGCAAGAAAAAGGCGGAAAGTTTGTATACTCTGTGGGTGTCTTGGAGCAGTGGGTTTGTTTAGAAACAATGTCAGAAAGTTTAGAAAGAGCACTGTCGTCACCAGCAGCATAGTGTTACCCATCTCTTTCCAGACATTACTTGTATCAGTCCTGCACGTGGTTATCTGGTAACGTAGCCTGAAATATATGAAGGGCATGATCTGTCACGCTAGGGTTTCCGCCTAGAAATGAGGTGGGCCTGAATCCTAGAGCTCCGAGTCTGCGATACCACGGTTCTTCACCTCGGTGTCAATACAGACCCTAGAAGACAACGATGAGTGGAATCCCTGGCAAACATAGGTTTGAGTTTCCAGTCGAGCCGAGATCGTCCGTGCTGCCAGCCTGTTTGTTCGCAGTCTTCAATGAATCAGTTTGCTTTCTAACAAAGCCAGCTGGGACTTGGCCCAGGCTTAAGGCCTGCCCCTCAGGGGCAGAAGGAATTCAACCAGGCCTGAGTAGCTGTAGCAGGACTGCCTGTACTTCTGCAAAGGTAGCAGAGCAAACAGGACAGCCTTGAATGCTCTGTCCTCCTCCGCAACCGTCTGAGCTGCCAAGTGAAGCGACTAAGGACTAGTCCGTGTTGAGCTGGTCATATACCGGTTAAGAGTAGGAGCTGGGGAGGGTCATACTCCAGCGGGTGGTAGGGGCAGTCCCATACGCTCAGAGGGATCCCCAGAAGTCATATTCTGGTGTTGCTGGGTGAATGACAGCTCCTGATGCTAAACATCAGAGGGAGGTAGGCCTCCACATCTCAGAGTTTTGTGTCTGCTCTCGGTCACCCCGCGTGTATATGATTATACGGACTCGCCTGTGAGTCCTGGACTCCTCCAAAAGCATCGTTCTAGGGAGTGTTGGAGACTCAGCACAGCTACAAAGCTTAATACATTTTCTGGTCCTAGAGTGGCTCGAGGACTGATTAGAACAACTTTTTCTCGCCCGGTTTTGGAGGACAAATGAACTGAAAGACATTTCACCTCTTTGCCCACTGACCATACGTGTGAACACAAACATAAGTGGCAGCTAGAGAAAAGTCAGAGGACAGTCCTGCACACTTCTGGAACGGCTGACAACAGTTTTTGGCTGCAGTGAGCAATTTCTGTGGTCTGGTACCTTTCTGGCACCTTATGATGTTAATTTTGGGTTCATCTTCTCTAATGCTCCTGCATCAACGTAGCCTTGTTGTTGGTACGAAAATGACTTAAACCAAAACTGAGCCTTTTGTCTTCCCTACCTGCTTTTTCCAGACATATTCTTTCTACTTTGTTATTGTGTGCTTGAATCATACTGGAAACAGGCTAGGTCCCAGCCCCAGAGCATGGGATGTCATGCATGTGCACGCACAGACAAACGTAGTTGTATTCCTGCAATGCCCTCTGAGCGCTAGAGACGTACTGCGCCTCAGGTTGATTAAACAAGTGTGTGTAGTAGAAAAGAGAGAAAACCACTGCCGTTAATTTTAAAAAAGGAAACAAGTAGCATTTTCATTCTCACCAGGACAGGCAATTTTGAAGTTAAACACCTCATTGATGGTGCTAATACTGTGCATTTAATTTTCAACATTGGAAGAAAAGGGATGTTTTCGTTCCCACTAGGGAAGGAACTTCTAAATGCCACATTGATAGTAGTGTTGTTAGAGTCATTTGGGGCTTGATAATAGCTTCTTTTGGCAAGATATAACTAAAATCTCAAGGTGAATCATACCAGTGCCTATAATCACAGCATTGCACCTGCACTACGTGTGTAATAAAGAAAGTTTATTTCTGCCTTTGTAAACCAGTGAGTTATTATTTCTTCAAAGTCAGGTCCCGCTGAAACACAGAGAGCAGTAGCCCCATTGAGTTCAATTATGTTCTGTGCAGTGAAGGTTAATACATAGTGACGCTCTTTATTCAGCTTAATATGAGAAGTGTGCTCTTAACATCACAGCAATGCAAAGATAAAGCTCAGAGTTATTGCCACAGGAAGGCAATAACGGTGGGATCTTACTGGCCCGGCACAATAAATCCTCTGAGCACCATCTGTAGGTTGGTCCCTGCCATAAGTAGTAAGTAGACACTTGAGAGCCCTGGTTTAAGTTCATTAGAAATGCAGTTTGAAGAAAGATGGGGAAGAGACACTTGGCTATTTCCTGAGATAACGTCCATGTTCTGCTGGAGCAGGTCATTGAAGGTCTCCTAGCCAGCCAAGAGACAGCACTTCCAGGGAGACGTGTCTGCATGTGCAAAGGTAGCCAGTCGTTACTGTTCAGTAAACTAATCCTTGGAATAAAAGAAAATACTTGCTAAAAGAGCATTAATGACTATGCAGGCTTGTCAATGAAAGCGAAGTTAGAGTAAATCTATGTTTTTATTTCACCACAGTTATGCAACTGTTGCTATGCTACTGTGAGCAGCTCTGGATTACAAAATCATCCGCTCGTCTGAGAATTCTCAGCTGAGGAAAATGTATGGTGTAATTGCAGTGGATAAAACTAAAGGTAAAAATGAAGAGCTTAATTGATAATCATTTTCCTTTCCTTCGTTGCTCTTATTACTAGCTTAAATACTGTTTTGCATTTAGTAATATGTTATACTTGAAATATATAACAATGCCTACAATAGGGTTGTCAGTTGTTTTGTTTGGTTTTTTTACCTTTAACTACAGCTAAAGGTAGCATAGCACTTGTTAAATTTTGCTTGCTAAACTATCCTTTAGGCAACATACCAGTTGCTAAACGTCCATGGCTTGGCGTGAAATTTTCCATACTGAGGATGGAAGTTTAGGATGACTTTACTGCTACCAAACATGATCTAAGAACAAAGGCAGGAAAAAAAGGGCTTTGTCTAGGATAAAATATTGTGGAGAACTTATCTTTGAAGCGCTTGAATGCCTTTATGCTCTAGAGCGGACTTGGAATTTGTCATGAAAAACTGAATTGGGAGGGGGGTGTCTGATCTTCTGACTACATTTAACATAATTTATAAGCCTTTGAAGAAATGAGTTTTCCACATTCCTGACTTAGCACGTGCCCCCACCTCCTTGCTACTACTGCAGTCAAGTCTACCCCAGTTGTGGGCTGCAGAGCCCAAGAGAGTCCTCTGTTTGCCCCTATGGACTGGGGCGGGTCTCTGGACTGAGAATGAGGCTATGGAAACCATCCTCTCTGCTCCCAAAAAGCTGCTCTTTTCTCCTCTTCACAGCTGCTTGAGCGTGTCTGATAGGAATGGTGAGGGGAAAAGGACCTGACGGAGGGGAAGGAAACAGTAAGTATGGAAGCAGGGGATATGGTGAGACTGAAACTACTAGGGGGTAGAAAAGCTTGACATGAGAGTAATAGGGATAGGATACTGGGATTAGGTGGGGAAGGAAATTAAATTCCCAAGGAGAAATGAAGGAAAACGAGTTCAAGGCAAGGGGACGAGTATATATAGATGAGGAATCGGATGGGGACTGTATGCCAGGAGCTTAGGCCTAAGAGAAATGAGAGAGGATAGATGTGGAAGTCAGTGAGGAAACCAGAAGAATTGAGAGTACATTGGTAGAGCAGACAAAATCAAACAGAATCAAGTCTTGACTCTGAGCAAAGGGACAAGCTGCGATGGGAAGGGGAGCATTAACAGAGGAACCACTGGGACTTGAACAGAGACTTAGAGAAAGGAAAGTTAAAACTTGGAGAGCACTGGGACGTTAGCATTTCAATTTTTTTTTCCATTGCAGTAGGCGTCTGCTAGGGTAAGTAAGACCAAGAAAATATTCTGCCGTTCTAATTTAGTATAAGATATTTTCTTGTCTTTTCTGTGTGCTATAAAGGAACAAAAGAGGTAGAAATCCATTTGTTTGCAGAAATCCATCTTGCAAGCCACCTGTGAAGACTTTTTAGGTAGGAAGCCTTAGGCCTTTGGCAGACAGCTCTACCCTAGAGTCGGAAAAAGCAAGGAAACAGCCTTAGGAATCTTAATGCAAATATTGGCATAAGTTCATTGTAATTCAGGAGGATTCAGGGAAGCACTAAAAGGGCAAGGAGGTCTTATCTGAAAAAAGAATCTATTATGAGGCTATAACATACTGAACTTC